TCTTTTTGTGGACATAGCTTTTCATTTCTCTTGGATAAATAGAGTAAAATGTTGTACCTCAAAATAGATATATGTTTCGTTTTATGAGAAACTGCCTGTTTTCCAAAGCATTCGTACCATTATACATTCCACCAGCAATGTCTGAAAGTTCCAGTTGCTGCACGTCCTAACTAATATTTGATGATATCAGTCTATTGGTATTGTCAGTTTCAGCCACTACAGTGAGTTACATTTTCTTTTTTTCTTTACATTTTCTTTTGCCACAAAACAATTACAGTATCACAGACTTCTAGGAGTTGACACCTGTAATGATTTCTCTACCTTGACTTCATAAATGATCTTAGTAAATAGAAGTTCATTACCCTTCATAGCTTCACACTCGCATTTCCTATCACATCCAACAGACTTAAACACCCATTAAATTGGTGTGACTGGATATTTAATAATATTAAAGAATTATTATTGAAATACGGTGGTATGTTAATAGGATTGTGATTATGTTTCTTTTTAAAGAATCATTTTAGAGATAATAGTCATGTACTGCATAATACCACATTGGTCAACAGTAGACTGCATATACAGTGGTGGTCTCATAAGATTTTAATAGCTATACCATACAGCCTATTTGTGTAGTAAACTATACCATCTAGATTTGTGTAATTACAGTCTATGATGTTCACACAACAACTAAATCACCTGATGCATTTCTTATAGAACATATCCCATCGTTAAGCAATACATGACTGTACATGCTGAAATATTTACATTTGGTAAGTGGGGTTTGATTCTGAATAATTAAGGAGGAAAAAGTGTCAGGAACTATGCAGTGTATGACGTTTTACCCAACTTGTAAGCTGAAAACAGCCTGCTGTGGTTTCATGGTTGCTGGCAGAAGACATGAGACTCCTGGGTCAGAAACAAATGACTTTATTATGCACAGCAAAAGCAATAGCCAGAGTTTCTTGTTCATTTGTGTCAGTTACCCATCTTCCCCAAATCCCAGGGAAGTGATGTACAGGGCGCATCATGAGTGGG